ATATTATATATTTTATTATAATTTATAGTACTATTACAACTTATATTATGTCAGTATTATATATTTTATTTAATATTACTATTTCATAAATTTAAATCATTTAAAAAATAATAATTTTATATAGTTTGTTATTTTATAAAAATAATTTTTACAGTGTGGGAAAATCCATTGATTAGATTCAAATACAAATTCAGAAATCTGCACTCTTATTGAGTGTAAAAAAAATAAAAAATAAAAGTTAAATCTTGTATGTCAGCAACATGCATTTAAAAACTTAAAAAATGTCACTTTTACATGCTCGCCCATGCAAAAATTCTCTGCCACTGCTATGTGGGTTATAGGGCATGGGTGGACGCCAGGACATTGCTCGGGTCTTCTGGGTAGTTGTTAGAAGTTTCATACTTAGAAGTTAGGAGTTTGTTCCTAACCAAAGAGCAAAAAAAACAAATGATCACACACAGGGCAGAGGATGAGCAGAAGTTCGGTCAGCGTTTCGCAGGCACAGATTGTGTGTAGGTCTAGTAAAAAGCTAATGTGTACGTGAGAAGTATATGTAAATGCCTCAAACATGCTGGAAAACATATGTAATGTTAGTGAGCAGGGCTTCAGGTCAATCGGTTGGGTGTTTCATGCAGTTGTGAATGTGACATGTTTAAGTCTGTACCTCGCTCTCCCCGCACTCGTACGCAGCGTCACCGTGAACGGTCATCTGGTAGCGTGCATACAGCGCTGCTGACTGCTCATACGACGCCAGGAAGTCTGGGTCCTCAAAGCTGACCGGCACTAGCCTCACCTTCAGAGTGATGAAGGGATGATTAGAGGGTGGAAGTACGATTGAATAAGAAAGACGGAAGGGTAGTAGGAAATCAAAGAAGGATAATGGGAAATAAATAAAGGGACATAAACAATGGAGGATGGGGAGAACGAAGGAAAAACAGACAAGAATGTGTGGATAAGGGGAGTGGTTAACAAAAATAGCAATGAAATTATTTCAACAGCACTGTATACACATCACATATGCAGTGTTTTTGGGTTCATATTCACACTGCAAGCCGAAGTTCTGTTCACATGACCTTTTAAATGTGACACTGGTCTGAACAGGCAATGCTTACTTATATTCTTCACAAATTTCACAGTTTAACTGAATAAATCATTCAAGCTTAAGTAAGCAACTAGCCAATTAATCATATGAATTCTGACTGTTTACATTGTCTCTTTTGCATGTGAAAGTGGTTCAGAATGGAATTAAACATGTCCGATTCAATGTGGAAAAAAATAAAGATTGCATTAAGATTCTTAGAATCACTATAGCATCTTCTGAAACAAAGACAGCCTAAGAGTAAATATGAACCCAAAACTAAAATGTAATTGCATTCCCAAGCTGTCTTACACTTTACTTTGTTGCTAATTTAGCATTACACAATTGCTCCAAACTATTTAAAGAAGTTTATTTTTTTTCTGTAGGGATGCACAATATGTCTGTCACCATACCAATAATGGTAAATATTAGTGATCTTATAGTCTAATCTAGGCTAACATTGGAAGTCATTAATGCATAAATGTGATATGGCATACAGTTTGGAAAATTCAAACAGTGTATTCTTCTTTTGCTCCAGATTTCTAAACATACTGTGTTATACTGTTTACATTACAATGTTCTGATGCACCTAAAGGACATTGAAGCACGTAAGATATACAGATTATACAGAGTAACTTGTTTTTGTGTTGAGCAAGACAGGGAAGGGAATGTGTAGCATGGATTTAAACTCAGAGTTGGAGGGTAAATGTTGGGAAACGGGAGGCTGAAGTTGAGGCTGGTGCACCGGGGCTGTGAAGCTCTGATTCAGGCTAAAATCACATGGCTTACAACAATACAGACCATCAATGAACCTGATGAATTACAGTTAACACTGTGTCATTGGGGCAGTGGGATAAGCACTGGTCCCTTGACTGATTTAAAAAAAAATCAATAAATAAATAAATACAGGAAAGGAAAACCACCAATTCTAAGCTTGGTCTATCTTTTTCAATAGGTCTAGCCTAAAAAAATCAGAACATTTCAGGCAAAAAATAAGCAGCAGGGCATCAATAACATGGCGTCCGTCAATGTATACACAGTACGCACACACACACACACACACACACAAAGCATTCTCAAACAATTCAATAACTTGGAACTGTCATGAAGCCAGGGCAGAAAGAACATAAATTTAGAAAAGCCAAAGTCTGAAGTACAACACCAATTCAGACCAACTCACAACAAAACGTCCCATGCAGAGCTTTCAAAAACTTCAAAAAGAACTGCAAACGCCAGAACATTCAGAGCTGTTAGCGCATTTGCTTTGACACGTTAAGCTGTGGTGCTCATGTGAGGCACGAACGTTCAAGCTCTCAAACATTGAATCTCATTCCCATTTATTCCGCTCATCCTTTTGTGTCCTCCAACAGTGGTAACATACCACACAGTAATAAAAACAAGAATTTCAAATATAGAAAACTACTGCGTGCGACTATGAAACATATTTAGGAGCACCAGTGTGACTGACCAGATCATCATCATACTTGTGATTGTGATCGCTGAGGGGAGCTTCAAAGGTTTCTACGTGTTTTTGCAGCATTGAGTAATGTATCACAGACATATCTCATGAATCCTTTCATAAGCAACGTGTAGACAGTGTGTAAATCAGAGATTCATTGCGCAGTGTAGAGAGCTTTGTTGATTATAAATGTGAGCTCGCGATGAGCTGAGTGACAGCTTTTAATGATTTTTAAGGGAGTTTGTAAATGTGATACTGATTTAATACAACAGTTAAATAGACAAGAAGTTAATATTAAGTGACTTACATTGTCTGACTATAACACTATGGTCTGATTTTGCTCTATTTCGTCGTCGAAAATAGTTTGAAACAAAGTCACAGCTCAGCCGCTGCGCATCTCCATTCAAACACAGCGGTGTCTCGTTTATGAATGAACTGCGTTTTTAAACGAATCTAGTGAGTCAGTGATTCATGATTACCCATTCATAAATACTGTCACTTGCTTCATTCCTGAATGATTCAGCTGTTCAAATTAATCAATTGAATGAATGATTCAGTGATAAAATCAGTGACTTGTCGCCACCTGCTGGCGGATTTAGTTTAACTTTTAAAGTATCTTTTTAGTTCTTTAAATCATTTAATATTTCTATATTCAAAATTTTATATTTAAAACATTAAT